ATTATTGCTATTCTAACTCAACAGCCTACTCTCTTTTCATCATTCCTCAACACAAAGATAACAATTCAGACAGGCATTTCAAAATTACATCAAAAGGGGGAAAAACAGGCAGCAGAATCAAAGATATGAAAAAATGCCAAAATGCTCTCAGAGAGTTTGTGCTCAGGCAACCTTTAGTGTTGTTTATCTCCTGGGATCATGTCAGTGTAATCATTTCTTCTTCTTTTTTTTAACAGAGAACAGTCATGAAAGCTCATAGCTGTCATGGTCTCATGATCGGTCTCGATAGAATGGCTAGTTTGTTCTCTTCTTGTGCGTGTGGGGGAGTTTGTGTGCATCATGCACATTGCTATCCACCTGTGTTTCTAAAACTCTTACTTATGGCTATTTATGACTCAGTATGTGATTTAATATTTATTTTCATAATTAAAAGAGTGCATGTTTTGTACCATCATCAAAACTGTATCTTCATAACTCAGCAATACACAAGATGAGGCGTCTAAATAAGAATAAAAAAAACAAACAAAAAAAAACAAATCTCTCAACCCTTGTTAAGCCCAAATTTCAAAAAGACATAAACTGTAATGAATGTAGTTGTGAGGTAATGATTTACTTTAAGGTGGACATTGGTGAGTTACACCAGTGAGTCAAGCATTTCTGATCTGTTGGCACGTGGTGTTGAAGATAACATCTCCTGTAATGAAATATTCCTGCTTATGTATTCCTGCTTAATTAATCCATCCATCCATTCATCCCAGAATGAATGGATGGAGCCTATCCCAGCTGTCTTAGGGCGAGAGGCAGAGTACACCCTGGACAGGTCGGGCTGTGCCATCAATTACTGTAAATTTAAATCTTATTAAGAAATTATCATACAAAAAAAGGGTTTATAGAGAATACTGTTAAATGTTCCATTTCTATGCCATGAACAATTTCCAGAGTGTGATCACAGTCCTGTGTGGGCTCATTCACATTTTCAGAGAAACCAATTGAGTCTAAAAATAGAATACATCCTCTGTGAAGGCTCTTGCTTTCAGCATCTAGATGTTATAACTGTCCGCTGCTATTATTTTATCAAAACTGAGCGCTAAACCAGATAAAAAAGACTGAGAAATCAGATGAAAACTCTGAGTAAGGGCAGGTGGATGATAGATAACAACAAACTACAACCCTTTGCCAGTTAGGGACAGGTCTAACAGTCAGGCTGTCAAATGAAGGCTTTCTATAGCTGACAATGTATTTATATAACACATAATACAATTAATATACCCAGACTTGAATGATTTGTGAAACTCATGATCTGATGAGAAAATAGAAGCCCTTATTTAAATGTTACTCTAACATTTAGAAGTACAAAGTGTAAAACTGATTATATATATTATATATAAGTTGTAAACTTACTAACTCACTGATAAGTGACTACAGCTCAGAACACATGCTCATACAGAATTACTCATACCCTCACCAGGGACCTTACCACCCTTGGTGACCACAGAGTTTATCCATGCCTAAAAATAGCCCTGGTTCAATTTGTCAGAAACTTCAACATCTGCCAGCATTCAGAGTCCAATAAGGTCACAAAAAACAATAAACCTCTCCATTGTGGCAGGGAGCACATGTCAGGCACACACACAGGTGAGGAAATTTATTATGAAATCACAGAGAAGCGTCCTGCAACAACAACATCTCTAAACGCACAAGTGTCAAGACAAACAATAACCCTAAGTACATACAGAAGACTAGAGCCTATTCACATGCATATGCATATTTTTTTTTTACCAGGTTTATAAAAGGTTTAAAAAAACTAATTAATAGCAAAGATAGTATTATGAAAGTTCTGCTTAATAATAATGTTAAACCGCTCAGCAGCAGCTCACAAAGGCCTGAGGGGTTACATTCATCTGGGTGCACAAATATAATACCCCAAATGATAAATCAGTTCTCAATAAACGAGGTGCACTCAAAGTGCTCAAAATGTCTGTGAAGGTATTCATCAGGGGAAGATTTGTAAGTCTCTTCTGCTGGACTAAAACCATGTTTTTAATTACAAGGTTGAAACTAAACAATCTGGTGAGGCCAACAAGCGGACAATTATAACAGATTTTAGGGGACTGAAACTTATTAATACTAAGCAAACTGGTGGTTAACAAACAAGTAATGCTTTTTTACTATTGTGATAGCTAATCACATTAGCTAATAGCTCATTTTGAAAAAAGCACCATTTATTTAAGTATTGGTTACTACTATGTAATGTAATTTGGCTTGTGTTAGAATTTAATTAAATAACTAAAGCTTTTAAATAAATGGTTTGGCAAAAGCTCAATATTTGTTTGCAAAAATAAAGTGTAGCAGAAGCAGAAAGCAGCATAACACGGCAATATTTCAACATTTGTTCATCCAGTCCGAGACACGGTCAGTGACACCCTCAGCAGTTGTTAGTCACTATGGAAAAAATGTTTATTTTGTGACATCAACCAGTTGGAAAAAAATAAATAAATCTCAGATTCTGGTTTGCTGGTGAGGGGCGGTATTGTACAAGTAGGGGAGGCATCATTGGGGGGCCACTGCCCCCCCTGCCACTACTCTTGACACACCCCTGCTCCATGCTTCGATTTTAATCATTGAACAAAATACAGACACAGAAATGTAATTACATATGACTAAGGCAATATACTCAAAAAGATTTGATAGTGTCACTTAATGTACATTTAATCAATGGATGCTTTGACAGCAAGAAAACTAAAAATTTTCAAATAATTTGAGGAAAATAACATAGAGCTATATTCTAAAAATAACACCAAAGGAGAAATCGGTATTCAAAGGCAGATGGTGGGCAGGGCATCACGGATTACTCCGTGGAGCTTCAAGGTGCAGTTTCTTCCACACACGCTCAGGACCAAACATCTCCACAGCGCATCTGAGAGCAGCAGCAGTTCATTTCCAAAGGACGTAAAAGCTGTAAGTAAATACATGTTTTCTTTGTTTTCCATAACCTGTTAGAGCTGTTCCACAGATGTCCCCAAATACTGTTGTTATTTCTTTATATAAAATGAAAGTGTTAGCACTCTGCAAAAATATACTGCAGGACTCAATTAACCATTTTATTTACTAACGTAGCGTCGCATTTTTAAGGGAATTACCGAGGTTGAAAAATCGACAGATTTAAAAGAAAAAAAGAGAAAAAAAAAAGTTCATGCTTTCTTGAAAAATTATAGCTTCATTTTCTATTTAGTGCAGCTTAAAAGCATTGTCTTTGCAAGTATAAAAAGTGTGATGTGCTTAAGACTTCATACCTTCATTCTCTTCTTGTTAAAATGCTTTGAGTTTCTTGCTCTTATAGTTTTATTCTATGTTAAAATGCATTAATCTTAATGGGAAGACCCAACAGCTACTGTGCATCGCTTCACAGCAGTCCTTTGAGTGAAACCACACAATATTTAGAAGGTTAGTTTTCATCTGGTTTAATAAGCAGTTTAGGATAAACTTATTTTGGATTGGGGTTTAAAAAGCTGGAACGAGCAGAGAGAGTAGAGATCCCACACTTGAAAGAAACATTTGTGAGGGAAATGCTGTGCTGTGTTTATCTTTGCAGTGCTGGAAGCAGACAGGGTTTTTTTTTTTTTAATAGTGGAGTCTGTCTGAGATGATTGCTGATATCAGGGCAGCGAGGATAGCTATGCCCCCTGAATGCTTTTTTTCTCCCTCCACTGTTTAGTTCAAATTTTTTTTTCTGTTAATCTTCTCAGATGCACAGTTTGCCTAAGTTATACTTGATAAATAGTCAGCACATTTCACAGGATTATTACAGTTAAACTGCCATGCGTGGGAACAAACACCACTGAAAGATATTTTAACTAACCAAAGAAAGAAAGAAATACAACACTGCTGTTTTACTACACATGACCCCAGTTCAATGAGTATGTGCCTAACTCCGTAATCGCCTTCACCACTGGTTGAGTGGGAGGGCCAAAGAGGTGTCCTGAGTCAAGCCTGAGGTAACCATGGCCACACTTAGCCAGTCCCTGGCTCCAGTTGTTTCTGTCATTTCTGTCTTTAAGTTGTAGTTTTCTTTGGATTTTTTTTTTTTATCACTACGTGAGTGACAGGCCAGAGGAAGCTCCACATGGGGCAGGTTAGAAAGAAACCAAGCCCCATGTGATGCTTCACGCTGCTGCAGGGAATGATTCAGAAATGCCGCCTGCCAGGAGACAGAAATCAGTGTTTTGGCAGCTTATTGGTACACAGTGGCAGGCTGCACTCAGCCTAAGGTGGACCTCCCACAGATGGTTAGGACATGGAGCCCCCTGAGAAACTTTTGCTAATAATGGAGTTCCTGTGCAGTAGCACCAGTGGGTTAACCTTTAGCCATGTGACACAGCACAGAGGTAGAGGTGGGTATACTCTGGACAGGTCGCCAGTCAGCATTATTTTATTTAAGAAAGTCAAAAGAGGAAAAGGATTTTTTCCAAGGGTTATTGTACAATTTAAACTGCTGTCTGGTCAAAGACTGATAATGAGATTTAAAAACAAAACAAAAAATACATACAGTATAAAAGTATATATAGGTCTGATTTTAAATGAGTATGTGCACGGTGTTAACAATGAAGTAATCTTGTGATTGAGTTTTTTTTTTTATTACCTGCTAAAATGTTTGTTAGAGCTCTGATCTCTCTTAGTTTCAGCATTTTTCAGACTACCAGAACAAATCTGCTCGACACATCTGTGAACAAGTATCTGTATTGGCAACAAAACCTCATTCTGCTGTAGGCAACTTCAGAGGACAAAAGTATTGACTGCTTTGAACTTCTTTCATTTCCTGGTGAAAAGGCCAAAATTAACTATCAAAGAACTACAACAAGATTGTTGAGCACTGATCCACAAACTATGAATCATGAGCTGCGAAAGGCTCTTAAAGCAAAACAGGCAGAGAATTTTCAGTTAAACAGGACGCGTAAAGAGCTAAGCAAACCTTGCAAAGGCTGCTAGGTGAAAGAGCAGATATGTGCATCAACCTAGACAAGAACAAGGTGACAATCGGGAAACTCAGCAAGGTCTGAGGTCCCGAAAAGGAGGAACTCAATGAGCTGAGTGCAAAAAGGATGCGAATTATGCAAAAACACTTGAAAGGAGCAAAATAGGAATTCATTAGACAAAGAAGGAAATGTAAAAAATACAAAGAAGAAATTGTTGGAAGTCCAGAAAACACTTGAACACGAGAAGATCGAAGTGATGGAAGAGTGGGAGAGAGTGGAGATCTTGCTAGACCTCCCATGTGCCACCCCATTTTTATATTTTAGTACCATCAGAAACGATTAAACTTAAGAAAAATTGGTTGAATTAAACTGAATGAATTGAAAATGTCCAGGAGTGCAGGACTGCAGGACAAAGTCTGTGCTTTTGGAGCTGTAATAGCTCAGATCTATTTTGAGGTTACTGGAGTGCTTTAGAAAAGATATGGTCATTGAAGTTCAAGTCATGGATGAAAAATCACTCTCTCAAATGTTGTTACACTATGATCTTAACCACTTTCTAACAACTTCTAACAACTTCCATCCGTCACAATTACTGTACTTCACTGCCTCCCCTCAATTTTGCAGATAAAGAAGAACAAGTCTGCAGCGATGGACGTTACTCACAACTTTATAGTGCTGACCTGCCTGCTGTTCCTCCACCCACTTAAGGTTAGCCAGTGAAAATAGACAAAGAGGATATCTACGGCTGTTTTTTTTATTATCTAACTTTGATACATCTCTTCAATTAATCTTCTTCATGAAACAAGCCGGTTTAGCTCTTCTGGTTTTAAGGTTATCCTCTGTTTTAGTAGTTTTCGTTCTGATTGGTTGCCCTTCATAAACAAAAGGTTTAAAGTGAAGGTCTGAGCCTGAGAGCGAGTAAATCATGATAGAGCGAGATCTCTTCTTTGACATCATGTTCTGAATAGTGTTTTTATATGTATCTCATTACAGGTTGGAAAGGTGAGCGCTAAAGTTCTGGAGGAGACTTATCGAAAGTGGGTTCAGTACAAAGAAGACTGTTTCAACACGATAAGAAATGAGTCACTGCCTCAAAGTAAGCAACTGCGTGGTAGAGGAAATATGGCAATATGTGATGAAATAGCAAAGGAATTATTGAAATGTTAAATCAAACCTGGGGTTTTCTCCTAAGTTTCTTTTTGTTTGGCCTTCCAGCGGGCTTGTTCTGTAACCGGACGTTTGACAGGTATGCCTGCTGGCCAGATACTCCTGCTGGTGTTATGATCAACATCTCATGCCCGTTCTACCTGCCCTGGTATGACAAAGGTAACAACAAAAAACTGTCTGTGTCTGTCAGTTTGTCCTTTTTCCCTTTCAGTAGCTGCCAGTCTCTTCTTATTACTGGTCAGTGAGATTTTGCTGTGGATAACCAATCTTACATTTAATTGTACATTTTGATCCTGATGAAGTGTTGGCAGTGAGAGCTTAACTAGAAAAAAGATGGTGCACATTCTGTCAGAGCTAAGCCAACTGCAAATAGAAGTTATGCTGATCATCTACAAACCAAATGTTTGGATGCTCTGTAAATAGTAAATATTTATGAGATATGCAAAAGGATTTACATATCTCATAAATCCATGTTTTCCACATAGAACACAGGAAAAAATTTAAATGCTTAAACCAAGAAAATATTGTACAATCTATAAAAAACTTGGGCTGGGCCGATATTTATTTTCATTTGCCATTCATACGATCCTCATTCTTTTTTACAAGAATCCATAAACGTCTGAGGACTGTGGAGACCAGTTACTGGGAGAAAAATGTTTTTCTAATCTCTTTAGTCCAAATGAATTGCATCAATGAAAAATATTTTTTTTTTTTTTTTTTTATTTCAATTCATTTGACCACAGAACAGTTTTACTCTTTGCTTCTTTACATTTTAAATGCACTTTAAAATGAGAACACAGCAGTATTTCTGGATCATGTTCATATCTGGGTTCTTCTTCTTCTTCTTCTTCTCCTTCTCCTTCTTCTTTCTGGAAGAAAAGTAGCTTTAAGTCAGGTTTTTCTCTTGTGTTCATCAATCATGAACATTATGCATCTTTATGTCCTTTTCTGTGAGCAGTGATTTAGCTTGTCTCTGCATGCTTGAGCCCCCAGTTTCCCTTAACTTGTACTAGGCAGGTGGTGACTGAATTACTAACTGTGTTTCATCCAGTGTCCCAGGGTGTTGTGCGTAGGTGATGTGGATATGATGGCCACTGGGAGAGAGAGGACAACGGACAGGTGTGGAGGGATAAGACACAATGTGAGGAGGAAAAAGAGGTTGCGTCTCAGGAGGTATGGCAACAAAGTAGTTTTTTTTTCTTCTTTTTTTTCCTCTGTGGGGAAACATAGTTTCTTTTGTTTAGTGCTCGGTGTCTGTTAAAACTGTGGTCCTTTCTTATCACACACAGGTCTCCATGAGTAAACAACTCAACTCATTCCTGACAATTTGCCTTGTGGAACAATAAAGTATCTATTTGTATGGCACCAAATCACAGCAACAGTCACCTCTAGGCTTGTTTTATTAATAATATTAATAATAACACAGTTGTGTACAAGAGCATAAGGGGTTACACAAGTTCTTTGTACAAACAAGAATACATCAAAGTCATAAATACCTTTACAAAATGCACATTAGCCACTGAAAAAACAGGAATATAAAAAAAAAACATTCAGTGCTGGAAAAAACTACAATGTGAAAAAACTCCATCTAAAAAATTTATTTTTAAAACAACCTATGACGACCTGCTAAACATGACACACTACAACATGTCGTTGTTTATCAAAAGCTAAGCCAAGCTTCAGCAAATTTGCCTTTTCACAGTTTTGCCAAAAACTCAGTGAATTGGACCAATTTTGTAGACGGGCTGATAAAGTCAGACAGGAAACAAATACTTGAACTTATTGCTCCTAAAGGTGGTTCTACAAGCTACTCAATCACTCTGTGTACTTCATTTTTCACACATTGCTTCATTTTGGGTTAACGTTTGTGTAATAAATAAACACACGGTGTAAAATATCAAATGTTGTTCCACGGAAGTTTTTTTTTAAAATGATGTCATAACGATATGGCTTCAGCTGCATGATGTGTTACTGGATGTGATACAGCCGTCACCAGGGTTTAATCCCTGCCTGGACGGCAGTGGTTCCTGGTGATTGCTGGCTCTCGCTGAGTGAAACTGGCTGCAAAAAAGATACAGTAGCAAAAACCTCCTAATGACTCCCGCTAGTTTTTCACACTTGTCTACAAATACTCATTAGCTACGAACCAAGCAGTAATAAAATTTGAAAAAATGCAACACAAAAGGTTAAAAGTTAAAGTTGTCACTCAAAGCTGCAGTCAACGAGTTTCAAAGGGCGAAACGTTTACTTTGAAGTCAAACGGTCCCCATTTCCATTTTGTCTTGTACTTTTGAAAGTTTCAATAAAGCTTGAAGAGTAGCTGCTTGTACACAAGTCCTTCACTCCCATTCAAACTACAACTTCAGCCACATTTCTTTCACCCTGCAAGAGTGTGAGTAACTGTGAAAGGTTCCCATGGCTCAAAAATAACCGGCAAATTATTAATTCAAAATGGCTCCATTAAGAAAATTATAAGCCTGCAGTGAAAAGAAGCTAGGGCGTCTTGCTTCCAACAACACTGGTGTATTCAACTCGTCCTGATATGGCGAATGACAATCATCTGATAATGCCAGAAGTTATTATCTGCAAACAAAGCAGAGGCCCTTCCTGATTTGGCTTTTGTTCACTCTTCATTTTAAGTAATTTTATGACTTAATCAAAGTGAAAATTTGTCTTTACAGCTGTGGTTCAAACAGTTAATGGTGAGCTTCAGGATGCTGTACACTGTTGGCTATTCCTTGTCCCTCTTCACGCTTATAACAGCTCTCATCATTCTTCTAAGCCTTAGGTAAGCTCTCTGATAGATGTGGAAATCTTGTTTTTACTATACTGTCAAACAAAACTCCACAAAACATAAAAGGTCTGTAAAAAGTCTCAATTCTGATCATCAGATCATCACATAACATGCTGAAACTTTTATTTCCTAACTCAGTGAGCGCTGCTAAGATCCTTAATCCAAGAATCTAAAAGCACAATAGTTGTAAATTATGTTCCTTTGTGAGTCAGATCATTTTTTAAAAGTGCCAGAATCCACAACATGTTTTTAAATCCAGGCAATTTGAAATTGTATTACTCTGTGTTCCTTGGCAGGAAACTGCATTGCACCAGAAACTACATTCACGCTAACCTCTTCCTGTCCTTCATCCTGCGAGCTGTAGCGGTCATTGTTAAAGACACAATGTTGGAACATCACTGGGGAAGAGAAATCATGAAGCCGACTGATGTGAGTGAGATGCTCAGTCATCAGGTACGTCTCGAAATTTACTGCTAATTATTTGCTTCGATTATTTGGCAATAGATCAGTGTGTAGGACGTACTGCTTTGATGCTAGTGCATTCAGATAATTATGTAAAGCATGTTTAAAGACCACTCCCATGGAAATGGGTGGCTAATTTGCAAACTATTTTATGAAAAATAGCAAGTTTTAGAAATTTTACAAGTGCCATGCAAAGACCTTTGATATGCAATTTGTATTTTTTATGGGTTTTTTTTTCCAATTTCTTTTAGGCTGCTGTTGGTTGCAGGATAGCACAGGTGATCATGCAGTACTGTGTCCTGGCCAATCATTATTGGTTCTTTGGAGAGGCTATTTATCTGTACTCAGTGTTTATTGCTTCAGTCTTCATTGACAGCAACAAATACCTACTTTACATCTATCTCGGTTGGGGTGAGTTTCATCTCTTCGTAAGAAAAAGAATCATACATTCAAGGGGTGAAATCTGCTTTTTGTCAAAGAACACATTATCTTGGCAGTACTTTAAGCTGACACGTTGCAGAATAATAGAAATGTGTCACCACGACGCCTCTGCTCCTCTTTAGCGCCGCCTTTACCTGAGCACTCAAAGGACAAAGCACACTCTGCATCAGCAGGAGAGCTTTTATAATATGGATACCATGGAAACATACACACATCATGCTATTTCATTCTTAAACTTATTCTTGAAACCTGCAGTACTGAACCTGGTGATCTCTGATGCTTTCACATTAGGAACTCCACTGTTGTTCGTTGTTCCCTGGGTGGTGGCGAAGATGTTGAAAGAAAACAAAGAGTAAGTGTGCAGACATGTCCTCATGTGACAGATCATTGTGGAGAAGGGGTGGTGACAACTATCTACCTTTTTTTCTTTAGGTGTTGGGCTGTCAATGAGAACATGAACTACTGGTGGATTATTCGTTTCCCGGTTCTTTTAGCTACACTTGTAAGATGATTTCTGCAAATAGTCCCAGAAGTCTGCATTTATATTGCATGGCTCATAATACTTTGCATGATATACATCTGAATAAATAACAATACATATTATGATTTTCTGATCAACAGATAAATTTTCTGATTTTCACGAAGATCCTGAAGGTCATATTTTTCAAATTGCGAGCCAGCAACCCAACTCATTACACCGATTACAAACTTCGGCAAGTTTTCTCAGCATTTGTTTAGTGAGCTGGATCAGAGATAGACAGATCATAGTTCTGCAGTGAGAAAAGTTACCTATCTGTTTTATTTGCATTTTTTTAGGCTCGCCAAGGCAACTCTTACCCTCATTCCTCTGTTTGGAATTCATGAGGTGATTTTCGTCTTTGCTACAGATGAGCAGACGACAGGCGTTCTGCGCTATATCAAAGTGTTCTTCACACTTTTTATCAGTTCCTTTCAGGTAGGCAAGAACTTTTGAGTGACCGCTGGTTTTGCAGGCATACTGATCAGCCATGACATTAAAACCAAGTGTGTGATACTTCCCCCTCTGATGATCAGGCTTCCCTAGATGCTTGAGTGGAGTTTTTTTATGGTGTGACAGGACGCTTTGTTCACCTGAGGGAGGCACCTCCGTGTCGTGGTCCTGAGTCTTTGGCCCATGTTTTTGAGTTTGTTTGGACTTTTGAGATGGTTATGTTTAGTTGTTATGTTTGTTGATGTTCTTTGAGTTTTAGTTATCTTCTAGTTTTGGCTACTGCTCTATTTCATGTATGTTCCCTTTTTCGTGTCCAATCTGTGTTTTGTCTTCCAGGTCTGTCATGTATTTCCATGTCTGTTTATCCCCTGTCCTAATGTCAAGCTCACGTCCTTGTGAGTCTTACTGTGTATGTCACTTCCTGTTTTACTTTGACTGTTCCTTGTCTCATGTGCATTATGTTCAGTTTTGCTTCCTGTTTAATTAGTTGGATTCCAGCTGTCTTTCCATCTGTTGCCCAGCCTCTCATTATTCTGTGCATTTAAGCCCTCAGTCTGCCTTGCTTCCTTGTCATGTTGACATCGTACTTCTTCTCATGTTGTGTGTGTGACTGTTAGTTAGTTAGTTAGTTAGTCAGGCAGGCAGGCAGTCAGACAGGAGCATTAGTGGTTCAGTTAGTTTACTCCAGCTCTGCTCTGTGTTAAAGCTGAGTTTTGAGTTAAGCCTGCATTTTGAGTCCTCTCTCTGCCACACAGCATTACATGAGAAGTCAGGGAGTACACTGGTGGTGAGGGGCCAAAGCTGTGACAACGTGATCATTGTAATTCTGAACACATGTCAGAGACTTCAACGTTGTGGCTGATCAATTTATGTGTGTCACTGGAAAAAGAAAAGAAAAGAAAAGCTGCCTAGATGTGATCTAATTGATTCATTAAGCAAAGAACATCTTGCTCAAACTAAACTGGACTATTTTTATGAACTGGTGTCTCCAGGGATTTCTGGTGGCTGTGCTCTACTGCTTTGGCAATAAAGAGGTTTGTTGTTTCATTTCTTTCTCAGAAGGTGCTAATAACTATTAGCCATAAGTGATTTTGTAAATAACAGACAAAATACTTAAACCATAGGTTTAAAAGTGTATATTTTTAATGTTGAGACGTTGTTCTTAGGGCTGATGGGACAACATCACAATTAAAAAACAGGCATTATTGTTTCTGTATTCTTTTATTTTTTTACTCTAAATGTTCTGTTGCAGGATTTGCATCCTTAACAGTCTAATTTTAATGACATCACAACAAATGGGCTTTAAGTTTACATCTAAACTGCAGGAAGCTTTATGAAAAAGAACATTAATTCTTAAATAAGTTATCATCCTCTTTGGGTGCAGGTGCAGGCAGAGCTAAAGAGGAAAGTGGGCAGGTGGAGAATGGGGACAGAGACTGTATGCTGTGGACAGTGACTAGCTGTGCTGGATCCTCGAGAAGACAATTTTTCCATTGCCACAGTGCCACAGCGCAATGGATCCTTTGTGTCAGCAAGTCGACCGGTGCCTGATTGTTCCCTGAGTCCTGGTAGTTCACGCATTTTGAGGCGTCAGCAGCCGCCAACCTCTCCACAACCACATGCTTCTTTACAGCACTTTCCATCAGAGTTAGAGAAAGACAACATCCAAAGCCATGTGGATCAGGATGCGATTGGATTGGACAAGTCACAGGGAATGCAGGTGTCCTTCCTCATTCATCTTAAAGACCCTGTGGAGCTACTCCCACATGTTGTGAATACAGATTCAGACTGAATACAGCCTTGCGTTCATTGTACATTTCTTTTTCGGTGAATAGTAAATGAACTGGTACTTATATAACACTTGAACAGTAATTATTACAAGCTTCATTCACCGACTCACTGACACATTCATACAGCACATTCTAAATATCACTTGGATGGCTGCATCAGGAGCAATGTGGGGTTCGGTATTTTGCCCAAGGACACTTTGTGCACTCGAGGAGCCAGCGATTGAACCACCTACTGTTAGATGAGTCCCAGCTGGACACTACTTAGTGTAGTTTGAATGTTTAAAACTGTGAATATGAGGATGCACTTTGTAAAAACAGGTGACAGCGACGAGTTAAAACATGAGATATCACATGAGAAATGAGTGTTATAAGCAGGATAAGGATTGAATGGATATTTGTTTTTACTGACACTTTTAATGTGTGAATAAAAAGTTCATACATCAGCCAAGCAAATAGATTTGTTTATGGGTTGATGTGACCTTTCTTCTTCTTTTGGTTGCTTTAGTTGTCGCCACAGCAGATCATAAGCCTTCATCTCACCCTGTCCCTACCATCCTCCTCTGTCACACCAACCTTCTGCATGTCCTCCTTCACTCCCTCTATAAGCCTTGTCTGTGGTCTTCATCTTCATCTCCATCTTCAGCATCCTTTGTGCATGTCCAGACCATCTCAGCCTTGCCTCTCTAATTTTGTCTCACGTCTTTTTGAAAGTACCACCCTCTTCAAATCATATATCATAGCTTTCACTCAGGTCTCATTACCATCTTGCAAATCTTCCCTTTGACTCTTTACACTTGTGACATTCATCTCCACCTGCTTTCCCCTGCCTGCACTCTCTTCATCACCTCTCTGCTTCACTTCTTCATGTTTGCTTTGGATGCCTGACCCCAGGTATTTATACTAAAATATGACCAATGAGTAAAATAAACTGTTGTCAAGTAAAGAATACAACAGTTCGATCAAGTCAAGTCACAAACTAGATCGCAAATTTAAAAGAAAAAGCAGTTATACACGGAAATTCGATGTAGCGTTATCTTTGCAAGATGTCCTGTGATATAGTTTGCTTTTTTCATTATTAATTTTCTTCTATAAACGTTATCACCCAGGAGTACAGGGATTGAAAACCCCAGCTTTGCTTTATGGGAAGAAGGCAAATGTGCTAAATTTGTTGCAGTAATTGTTAAAAAATTAATGCGATCGATAGATATCGAAAAGACTCATAGAACATACAGTATATTTACTTTGGATATAGATTGTGCATTGCTGGACACAACTCTGTACCGAAAGGGGGATCACATGTGCATACTGCCATGTGAAACCGAGGGAAGAAGAAGAAGAAGAAGGAAGCAACCCGCTAGTAAGCGTCATGACGTCATGGCCGTCGTGGGCAACGGCGGAGGCTGGAGCGGGAAGCAAATAACAGCTTTGATATGTATCAAATGTTGAACGAGCTGCTGTTTACACGGTACCGGGAAAACCGGAAAACCCCGCATCTTATGATGTGAACAATAAAAGGTTATGTTTTGCTTTGAGCTCCGGAGAAGGCAGAAGGAACTTTCCCGGTTATTTAGTTAACTGTCTGCTTGCTAGCTAACTTCCAGACTGGGATATCAACAGGTGGATTTTCTGTTTGCTGCATTTATCAATGGCCTACAAAGGTAAAGTGCACTTTAAAGGTTTGAATGAAATCCATATAAAATACAACAAAGAAGACCGAGAGACAGAAACCCTGATTTTAAACGAGAGTCAAACGTTGTTAATAACTAGTTAAACCTAACTCCAGCTTTTCTAATTGTGCAGATTGGCAGCATCCCTACGTTAACATATTCAAATATGTCCGAGTTGAAGAGTGGAAGAGGTCGGCAAAAGAGGGGGATGTGTCAGCATACACGGTAACTTTGTACACACTACACTTGCTTGAATTACCCTTATGAAATCAGTATAGACTAGTTTGTCTCCTCACACAGGTTGAGGATTAGTTTCTCTAAAGATCAATAGAATAGTAATTGTTGAAATGTTTTTTCCCAACATTGCGTCTCTCAGGATAAGACACTGAAGTGTCCGGTGTTCAGGATCAGGGGCCCTGTTCCTGACAACAGCTACATCTTGCTTCCCAAAAACAGCAGCCAGTCCCTGGGGCTGACAGGACGCTTCTTCTACCTCCTTTTCAGGCCGACCCCCGGCAAATACTTTGTGGTCCACCTGGATGTCGCTGCAGGGGTATCTGCATGTTTGGCTGCATGATCCATTGTGCATATCATTCATTTTTGCTCAGAGAAATCAAGACTGCTTTCCCTCTTTCTCTGTGCCGTGTTTTATAGGAGGGTCAGGTTGTCCGTATCTCCTTTTCCAACACGTTCAAAGAGTTCAAGTCCACAGCTACATGGCTTCAGTTTCCTTTCCTGTGTGGAGCTGCAAAGGATTCAGTTTATGAAAACACAGCTAAATCTGCAAGACGGGGTAAAAACTATGCACACTCACGCTGCCTGGTATACTTAAGCCATTTCCAGTAATTGCACAGATTGTATAAGAAGGATCTAAAAAGTGAAGCTAATGCAGAAATGCCTAAAATCAGCATTATTTCTAAGGGCTGACTTAGAGGGGTGTCAGTTTGGTTGCCTAAAGAAGCCCCATCTCTGCTTTTGTATCGAAGTCTATGAGAAAACAACCCTACTGCTTACTTGAGCTATGCCCTCAGACGCTTTTTTAATGAGCTTGTGGACTCTTTGAAATCCTATAAAAGTATTGTTATTTAATACAGAGGGACTGTTACTTTGTAAAAATCGCACATTTTTATTTGATATAGGTTTGGTGGGTCCAGCTCCTACATCAGTGCGCTGGACGTGTCTGATGCTGGACCTGCAGCTCACGCTTTCTGACTACCTCAGCCGCTCCTACATTCACCTGAAGAACATCAAGTTATGTGCCAACATGACAGTGAAAAACATGTTTACCAGTGACTTACTGCTAGACCCAGGTGAGGGCAAAAACTTTCAAACAATGGACGTCTTACTGTACATGTATATATTTTATATGTGCAGTTAGTTGTTTAACTGCTGTTTTTCGTTTAAAATGGCCAGATCAAGTTATGAAAAAGAAAACTGGACAGTGTTTTTCTGTGTCTCTGAACAGAAAACTGCAAAACCAGTCAATTCAACGAGCAAAGATGATGAAATACAGCTGCACACAGACGCACGTGTTGAAGCTTTTAAAATCTTTAACCCAGTCATTGCTTATTCATTGTTATTATCTTTTAACAGGAGTTTCCTTCAGTCAAGCTAAGTTAATGGGTCTGACCTCGTCTCAGGGAACAGGTGCCATACCCAGAGAGATGTCATTTCCTGTGCCCAAGGGAGGCTCCTGGCATGATCTGTATGATTACATCAGGTACAGCTATAGATATTCAGTTTAAAGCAAAGTTCAGAAAAAACACTTTTCTTGATACAAAAACTGAAATTTTGGTGCAAAGTGGTAAAGATTAGTCTCATAGCCCAGCTGAATATTTGTAATCCATATCAACAACTTCTTTGTTTGCAAAGTCATTTAGGCTCTCAATATGTGGACATGTACTTGAATACTGTCTTAAGGGTGGATTTTTCCTTTTGTGATGATTTTAGAAATATTTACAGCCTATCTGCAGCCTAAATTGTTATTGATTTAATACAGATGTTATCTGCCTTTACCACTGCTACAAAGTCATTCAACTTTTCCTAACCCAACAGGTTTCCCTCTGAAGGAACAAAGTTACCGTTTGACTCCATTCAAAAAGGAAGTCCACAGTCAGAGCGTCGTAAGTAATGGAAAGGACACTCGTCACCAAATATACTGAAGAAAGAGCTCGCCTCACCTCAAAACACAATTATGCTTAAATCATTTCTTTCTTTCTGGTGTTAAATTAAGTCTTAACTCAAAGAAAATGAAACTACTGGCTCAATATTACATGCCTGATTCATGGGATGTGGAATCTGAGGTGCTTGTGTTCATCAAGGTAATAATACCAGTAGTAATGTATTGTAGATGACTGGTTTCCATTTTCCATTGTATTCTCCAGGGTCTACTCCCAGCCTCAGCAAACCAGTTCAAGATCGTGTGTCCCTCATCCACCAGATCACCAACCCAAAATTAGTAAGACTGATAACATTTAGCACATTTTTCCTTCCATGGTGAGTAGTACGGTATAGATACTTTATAAAGGAAATATGTATCTTTGAGATTAAGAATCCTTTTTTAAAGAGAGACCAGGCCAGGAGGGCGGCATAAATTACAATAAATATTACATTTAACATGTGAAGAAAAGAGATACAGCTGACATTCAGTACAGGCAAACATCTGAATCATGTGCAGTAACAGGTCATTACATGAGCAACATCAAAACCAGTCACTCTGACCAAATGAACTGTTTTCTCACCCTTTAAAACAGATTTAAACTCCTGTATTGTAACCAGATGTAACCAGAACACTTTTAAAAGCCCCTTTTTCCTCATTTCTCACTTTAGACGGTCATTAGTAAAAATACTGTGAGAGTGTTTGCTGTGCTGGTTGTCATTTTTACACATATAGACACACAAATAAGAAGAAATTAGTCCAAGCAGAGAGAGCTTCCAGTTTTCACTCCAAGTATATAATTAGGCGGAGGCTTATGTTTTGTTTTTGTTTTTTTAAGTGT